GGATCATGACCTGAGCCGAAGGCAGACGCTTAACCGTCTGAGCCACCCAGGCGCCCTAGTTTAGAAAACTTCTTAATCAAAATTAAATCTTCTTTTAAGATCCTCTAGTAGATAAATACCGATATTAAAATTGTATTCACCTTTGATGGGTCATATCTTCTGAGTGTTTCTAAGAGTTCTGGAATTTGTATTCTTGTCTCCTCTTCACAGAAGAAAATCCATGATGAATTTCTGCTATATGTTACAGAAAAGCTGACAAAGACAAATAGGTTATAGTAATCACTTCTATAAAATGAGTTTATAATAAGGTTTAAAACTAATAAGAAAGAAATGAATGAAAGACACATAAAATGGCAAGAAATCTAGATTTTTCCCCTACATTTTTCTTCGATGTATAGTTTCAGTTTATGGGAAAGCCAGATACTAATGGTTTATAAAACAGCTAGAGTTCTTAAAGTTAATTCTCTCCATAACAACATCGGTCCAGAAGGTAAATAATTTCCAAATGTAAGTATCAAATCTATCAACATTTTAGCATTTAAGAAAGCAACATATTTAAAAACAGAAGCCATTCATAATTAAAAGAATCAAGAAAGTTGGGTAATGTAGTAGTCATAAAAAACAGAGTTCAAATTTACTTTACTTATTGACTCTTACTAAGAAAAGCAGGGAGCATAGGAGTATTCAGGTAGAAATGTCAAAATTTACACATTTCAAATTAAACATACTGTGGTAACAATGGAAGTATGGTCCATGCACCTTCCTGCTTAGACAGCTGATGAAGAAGAAGGACTCTGGGGAGTTCCTAAAGAAACATTATCAAAGAGGAGAAATAAATAAAAATACAATATGATCATCCCAATTTAAAAAAAAAAAAACTCAATTTTTAAATGCAGGTATTTTTTTTTTTTTAAGATTTTATTTATTTATTTATTTAAATGCAGGTATTTTTGGAAACCTGACATTTTACTCTTCTACTCTCTTTTTTCTTCTCCTCAGGAGTTATTAGAAATGAGAGATGTTGGCTGAATCCACTTAACCTCTTTATCACCTACGCATGGAATAGTGCTGAAGACTCCAAGGTCTTCAGTGATACCAGGAGCTGACCTGAAATTTGCAGATTTGCAAAGGGGACCAGAAGGGAAAAGCCCAGAAGCAGTCAGGGATAACAGAGAGGCATAGAAACAGCTTTCACTATACATACCACAGGTAGCAGACGGAAAATAAAATACGTCAGCTAAACAAGAGGGTGTATATAATATCCAATTTATCTCATGTAAAAGAAAAAAATTTAAGTGCCCTTAAAAAACTAAAACACCATGGTAATAAAGAGTTTGGGGTCTAAATACTAGAAATATAACCTTTAGGTACTCAGACAATGAGAGTAATAATAGACTTTGAAAATTTATAAACATAGGAGGAACTAAGATTCAGAAATAAGATACACCTATGGTTAAATAAATATGCATACATATACACAGAGAAAGAAAGAGATTAATATGTTTAAGGCTATGAATGTTAGCTTTGAAGTAAAACACTATTCATTTCATGTTATTACAAGCCCTAAGTCAGATATATTATAATATGCTTGAATACCACCCTCCCAACAAACTTTAGTATATTCTGTGTTTTATTCGATTTCTTGGTAACTGTTGCAAACAAAAAACATTGAGAATAAGTGCCTAAATATTTGTACTATTACTACACTAATGTAGATTCCATACCAGCCTTTAAGTTCATATAAGTTCATTATTTCAGGAGAATGGTTTTCAATATAAATCTTTGGAACTACCAAAGTCTCATTTCTTTATTTTATATAACATTTATTTTAACTTTCATGTATAAATATGAAATGCCATAATAGTAATATGACATGACATAGAGAAAAAAACAGCTGAAAGGCTGAATTAACAGCTACTCAGTATACTCAATACAATTTGGGCTTTCCTGCTGTTGATTATGAATTATGCAGTAATTTTCACTGACTTTTAAGAAATGGCTATATATATATCTTATATATATATATATATATACACAAATAAGCATATATTCATGAGGGATTATGTAAAAACAAAAACCATGTGTGAAGAAAACTAATAATATTAATAGTTGTATAAAACTTTCAAATAATTATGGCATGCTAATATGAACTAGTTAGAAAAGAACATAGCAAATACTTTAAAAGGTTTTATAAGAAAATAGGTAGGAGCTCCTGGGTGGCTCAGTCCATTGAGCATCTGACTCTTGATCTCAGCTCAGGTCTTGATCTCAGGGTTGCGAATTCAAGCCCTGTGTTAGGGTCCATGCTGGGTGCTGGGCATGGAGACTACTTAAAAAAAGAAGAAAGAAGGAAGAAGAAGGAAGAAGAAGGAAGAAGAAGGAAGAAGAAGGAAGAAGAAGGAAGAAGAAGGAAGAAGGAAGAAGGAAGAAGAAGAAGAAGAAGAAGAATGACCTATTGTGTAGCAATTGAAAGTATAATAATGAAGACTTTGTAACCATGGAACTGTCTTTATGTTAAATGGGAAAATAGACATGATTCCAAATATGTAAAACAAATTCATACATGAACAGAGACTGGAAAAGAACCAGAAAAATGAAAATATTTGTGTCAAGAGAACCAAAGTATTACATCTATGCTTTTAAAATCCTTTAATGTAGCTAAAAGGTAGTTCAGTTTTAAAAGTTTCTTGAGGAAAAATGAATACACCTCAGAATTCTTCTTCCATACAAGTCCTATCCTTCCTGGTTACAGGAAGTATATAGTGATGTCAGCAGGTATCACAGGAAGGCTGTGAGGGCACCTTCCCGGCAAGGATGCAAAGACAGGCTTATGAATAATCTGTCATGACAATAAAAGTAAAAAGGCAAAGTCTTAGCACAAAGGAGTGAAATTCTAGTCAAAAATAAACTCTATGCATTACTAGTGAATTATAATCATCCCTATTACCATTCCTTTTTGTTTACTAAATCATATGCCTGGTTTCATATCTGCTTCAGTCAGTGAACACAAAAATGGCAATCAAGTTTTCTGTACCTGCCTACCTCCAAATAGAAACATTTCAAAAACTAATGGGCTGTGTTTATAACGGTCTCCAAAGGTGTGTGAATACCTTGGTCTCAAAAATATGCCTACCCTGACATTCAGAAACTCTTGATTAACCCAAGGTCATTTCGATTATAAATAAATTTTCATCTGCTAATCCTCAAAAAGGCCCAAGAGCTTTTATTCTTGTTTTTTATATATACACATATATAGCTGTGTGTGTATGTGTATTTATATACATGTATACATAGATATATTCTATGTGAATACACATGCACATATGTTCATACGTATTAGCACCTCTCAGATACAGTAATTTAAAAGGTTACAATAAAATTTTCTATTAAATGATCTTATCTCAGTTTTTACTACTTGGAATTGTAATAATTAATGCTCTATTTGTATGTTACAAATAACACCACCACAAGATTTAGACCTCCTTACAGCTGCCATACCCAGCTTCCAGCACTTTTATATGCAATGCAAGTTTTTAAATATGTAATTGGATGGAAGACTGAGAGAGTTTTCAAATGAAATATCAAAGGGAAAGAAAATAAGAAAATGTTATATCAACAGTGCCATTTGGAATAAAAGCTATAGTAAAGTCACCCATGCATATAGCTCTGTCTGTTGTCAATTTAAATTAAATTTAAATCCTATTCACCCAACAATACTACTATTTCAAACCTAAAAGGTAAGGCAAAATTCTATCAATAATGAGATAATGCCATAACAGAGGCAAACATAGACGGGCTAAAAATACAAAGGGCCTACTGTGGGCAAATGACAGAAAAAGGAAAGAAAATGAAAAAGTTGAACAGTCATCTAAACTTTTATGTCAACTCTGTTTATCTCACTGAACCCCCTATCTTTACTTCCATCGTCAGCATCTACTGGTCCCCTAACAAGCACTTTGAGGTCAGAAAGCCTACTGGACATGCAGTCAGTACTGCCTTTGAACTCATATTGTATCAAGTCTATGTTCACACTTAAGGCCACTTAACCATTATGAACAACAACCACCTTCAAAGTCAACACTCTAACTGGTTCCCTGGTTCTTCCACAAATCCATCACCTGTACTTGGCAAAGGGGTTTGATTTCACAGCTGAGCATTCTAACGATGCTCTGCGAATGGAGATAGCCCGTCATTCTTGATATGGAAGGAAAATCATGAAAATTTTATATCTAGAAATTTTAATAGTATAAATGAAAGAGACAACACTTGAACATGGATGGAAACAGATTAATATTTTAAATATCATAAATAACTTTAATTATTAGGCAAATTTGGTTTTGGATCACTTGACTCTTTCTGCCTCTGCCTGGAAAGAATTCAACTAATTCAACTTCATGCCACTGGCCTTTTCCCTTCTCGACGGACTGTTTCCCAATACTTATAACTTGCCCATACCCTTACTTCAAAGTATAAACCTAGCAGTACATGAGTTTATGGTCTAATTCAGTCTCATCATTCAGACCAAGTACTAAATTTGAAAGCAAAAGCCAAGACATTTGTTAAGGATGAGGCAGTGGCTCTGAAAGACTGAATCCTGTTTTAAGACGGTTTCCAGTTCAACTGCATTTCCAAATTCCAACTGTTATATACGTCTTAGCCATTGAACCGAGCTTTTAGACCAACACATGAATTATGATGAAAATTAACATCTGTTTATTGTTATAATATCTCCCATAAGAAGGAGGTATATCTTATGAGGATGATGATAAAGATGTCTGATATGCTGTTTGGAACACATATCAGAGAGATTTACTAGTCTTTAAAAATCCAGTATTCATTTATGAACCAGTAGACTACATGTGTTGCTATAATAACGTTATCTTCCAGGAACCTGAGCCTGTATTTAAAATATATATATATTTTTTCCAGATACCTGTCTTAATCACTATCTTCTCCTAATAAGAGAAAGCTATTACCTCATTATTTATAAAATTTGTTTTTATTAACTATTTACTTTGAAATGCATTACTAAGTACATTTTTATAGCTCATATAAATCTGTTTTAACTAATCATTCATTCATTCATGAAAGGCAGAACAGTTCAGTGTTTAAGGATCCGATTTCTGGAGCCAAGATACTTGCATCAGAATCCTCACTCTGGGGGCACCTGGGTGGCTCAGTTAAGCGTCCGACTCTTGGTTTCGGCTCAGGTCATGATCTCAGGGGCCTGAGATCGAGCCCTACGTCAGGCTTGGCACTCAATGTGGAGTCTGCTTGTCCCTCTCCCTCTGCTCCACCCCCTGCTCCCTCCTTCCCTTCCTCTCCCCACCTTCCCTGAATAAAATCTTTAAAAAGTCAGCTGTGAATCCTGCCATAGTTTCCAACTCTGTCTCTGCTCCAGACCCTGGCCCCATATATCAGATGTCTCACTAGTCCCTGCAACTCACCTCTCTCAACATAAGCTCACACGCTGGCTCACAGAGCGGCTCACTTTCCTTGTATTCACCCTTTCCCTAATAACCAGCGAGACCCACGATGACTGCCTCCATCAAGGAGAGTCCCCAGAGTTGCTCCAGGTAGGAGTCTGGCAAAGTCCACTATTTGTTCAAGGCTCAGTTCAAATGCCGTAACAAAGCCTTCGCTGACCTTCCCGGGCAGGGCTGGGTGCTTCCTTGCCTGTGTTCTCAGAGTGTGACGTCACTGTGGCTTCATGCAGCAACGTGCAGTGTGTCCCCTACTAGAATGAGCCTGCTGGAGGGTGGGCACCGCCACTCACCTGCAAGAGGCCACCCTGCTGGGCATCAC